TCATGACACGGCAGCTACAGGCACGACTCCCCCCCAGAAGGAGCAGGACTTTCTCGGGAGATAGATCCCGCTCGCCCACGGGAGCCATTGGGAAAGGCCTAGGGTGAAGCAATGTGGGCAGCAAGCTCTAGGATCAAGCTCTAGCAAGCTCCGCTCTGGTGCAAGAGGCCGAGGAAGACCAGGCTCATCTCCCAGCATGTGGAGGGCAGACAGAAACTTTATTGAGCAGAGGGCAGGGCACCGTTGCCACAGCTGGCGGTGGGGATGTGGGGCGGGCCCGGCCTCCTCACCCTGCTTGTGAGAGTCAGGCGCCTTCCTCTTCATCCTCAGTTTTCAGATTGTTGTCAACTGAGCAGTCCGGAGAGTCCTGGCACTGGCATGTCGAGGTTCTCCTCCAGGTCTGCTCTTGTCAACAAGTTGACCATAAGGCAGCAGTGTGCCCTCATGGCCAAGAAGGCCAATGGGATCCTGAGGTTCATTAAGAATAGCGTCTCCAGCAGGTCGAGGGAGGTGATCCTGCCCTTCTACTCAGCCCTGGTGAGGCCACATCTGGAGAACTGTGTCTAGTTCTGGGCTCCCCAATACAATAGGGACATGGATCTACTGGGGAGAGTCCAACGCAGGGCTATGAGGATGACTGGGGGCCTGGACCATCTGCCCTATGAAGAAAGGCTGAGAGCTGGGCCTGTTCAGCCTGAAGAGAAGAAGGCTGGGAGGGGCCCTGGTCAGTGTATATATAAATACCTGAAGGGAGGGAGCGAGGAGGATGGTCCTGGCCTCTTTTCAGTGGTGGCCACCAACAGAACTAGAAATAATGGCCACAAACCAAAGCATCAAAAGTTTCCCAGGAACTTAAGGAAAAATTTCTTTACAGTGAGGGTGACAGAGCACTGGAACAGGTTGCCAAGAGAGGTCATGGAGTCTCCGTCTCTGGGGATCTTCAAAACTCGCTTGGACACAGTCCTGTGCCATGTGCTCTAGGTGACCCTGTGTGTGCAGGGGGGTTGGACTAGATGACCTCTAGAGGTCCCTTCCAAACTTTATGATTCTCTGGTAACCATGTGGTGACAGGGCTCTGGGGTGGGAGCAGGGCAGGGGAGCTGGAGCCGCCAAGCAGGGACACCCACTGCTCCTCCAGGAGCCCTGTGCCTCCCCAGCCCTCCGCTGGTGCAGAGATCTGCATGGATGCGTGTCCCCTCTGCAGCCCCCTGCTGTTCCCAGGCCTTGGCAACGCATTTCTGCGTTTGGTGTTTGTCCTACAGAGACTCAGGCTTCCAGACTGTATGGTCCCCTGCTGTCTCCAGAAATGCTGTCTGGGCTGTTATGCTGCACAGGGGACGCCAGGGCCCTGGGGCTGTAGCCATATGGAGTTTTGCTGCCGATTGTGACATCTGTCACATGAGCAAGTTCTGTGCTTAATATACCTGTACTGTAGTGTTGTTTTGTACAGGATTCCATGTGTATTTTTAACAGGGCACTGGTAATATTTAATCATAGAAGGAGGAATACAGCATAAATGAAGATGAGTTCACAGTTCCACCATGGAACACAATTTTCAGACTAAATTTTGCCTTTTACAGTGGCAGTTTGTAGAAATTACTGTCATGATCATTCCTATAAGAGAAGAAACCAGAGCTAGTGGGAGCTAGTATGCTGACAGTTCCCGATTTGGTATCATTCGAGAACAAAAACCTTGTTATTTCCGAGACTGTTCCTGGAATACGTGAGCAGCTGGTAGCGTGACCCAGAACCTACTCCTGGCACGGGGATTTAGTTAGGCTTTGCATCAAGCACACGGTTGTCTACAGGTTTTGTGTATTTTGTGCTATTTTGTCCAGCTGTATGTATAATGCTGTATGGGAATGAAAAATCCAAGGTAAGAGCTGTTTCCATCAGTACAAAGCAACCAAATTAAATATGGTATTTTTTCCTTTTTGCCAAGATATTATGTGTGCAGTATTGGACTACTTTTCCATAGGGAAAATAATGGTGTCTGATCAAGCAGAGAAAAGTGGGAACAGGACTTCTTGTTCAGTCTGGTTTATTTACAAGAACTAAACAAATACTAAATAGATGGCAGAAGCCAACATGCAATAAACTTTTCTGTGCTGCATTTGGTTAAAAAAAACATAAAAAGGTATGTGGATGGTGGAAGAATATAGTGCAAAAATGTTTTTAAACTTGTAACACAAACTTGTGGATCACAGTTCATCTTGCACAGGGCAAAATCTTGCATCTACCACTGCGATGGCTGTAATATTTCTTTGATATTAATATGACTGAAGAATTCAGGACATCTGCTTTGAAATGTTTCACCTAAAATTCAGTTTTGTCCATCCTCGCCTGATACCGTCTTTCAGACTGTTTCCTACGGTAAACGTCATCTGTCAGGAAAAGATATATTAGCAATTTCCAAGAACATAATGATATTAAATGTATAACATCTATCATCTTTTTAAATTTTTCGATCCAGCTTCCTCTTGCAGAGGCTGACAGACAATAGAAAATTGAAGCCAACACGAATCAGAGTTCAGAGTTTAGCACTCTAGACCAAGCACAGGGGATGGGGGAAGATAGTGGTGTTTTCTGCCTATTCCCAGTGCCCCCCACCCACACTGGCCCACTGGGGTGTTTTGCATTCTCCCCCGGTCTTCAAGCAGCCAAAGGGGTCCCCGCCTCACTCACAGAAGGTCTCCTGGCCCACACGGACGTTGATCATGAACCACTCCATGGCTCCCCCCAGCAGGAAGAAGAAGGGTAGGAAGCGGTAGGCGCCGAAGCGCTGCTTGCCGGGCACCAGCTGCAGGAGCCGCTTCAAACTCCTGTTCACCAGCATGGCCGGTGGCCTGGCGAGCTCCCTGGAAAGCAGAGCAGGCCCCAAGCAGCAGGGACAAGCTGGCCCACACGGACGTTGATCATGAACCACTCCATGGCTCCCCCCAGCAGGAAGAAGAAGGGTAGGAAGCGGTAGGCGCCGAAGCGCTGCTTGCCGGGCACCAGCTGCAGGAGCCGCTTCAAACTCCTGTTCACCAGCATGGCCGGTGGCCTGGCGAGCTCCCTGGAAAGCAGAGCAGGCCCCAAGCAGCAGGGACAAGAAGATAGGGAGGTGTGAAAGGAGGGACGTAACGTGAAGCGGCCCCAGCGCGCCCCGCCATGCCAGAACCACGCCAACCCCCCCCGCAACGCCCCCCACGGCCGC